TGAGAAAGAATTGCAAAATTTCTCGTCATATTTTAAGTTGCAACAGATCTCGTGACGTTCCCAACATCCCATTTCGTACCGTTACTATCGCTTCGATACAGTCGAAGCGGGGAGACGTGACTTTCCTGTCTCCCGGTATATCGATGATCGGAAAAAGCGGAAGACTTAGCTAGACGGGACAGCAAGCTCTCTGCGCGGGTTTCGATTCGATAAATCCCGATTTGCTCGGCGCGCCGAGACCGAGAGATCGTCATCTCGTCTATTTGCGGTTTCTTGCCGCTCTGAGCAAGTAGTAGTAATCGTCGTATACTTGGCGTTTGGTGGCGAAGCACGCTTCCCGTGATTTATGAAGGCTGTTTTACTTTGCAGACTCCCCGTACAACGACATCGTCTCCTCGTCGCGTTACGTAACGTTTATAACGTCGAGCCCGCGATTCTCCCGAGATACGCCGCATTTATCTCACTCGAAACGACGCGAAATTGCGCGTTAATAACACACTCCGCGCATCTGATCCTCTCTATTTGCTACCGATAATAGAGCCCACGATAAAATATCGCGATACTCGAGATTACAGTACTACAAAGGGACAAACAAAACAGTTGGGCAACAATACGGAAGCCGTAACGTAATTATAACAATGTAATTACGATAGAAAAGTATTTTGATATTAATTTATATCCCGATTCGATTTATACGTGGATATTGTCAAATCAGTTATTAGATGTTAAAATCTTAATTTAAACGCAATGCTCGATTAAGATTGAAGAATTTTTGCCCTTTATCCGAAAAGTGCGGGATCACCTACGGGTCCTACGGGATGCGGGCGCATCCTTATCCGATGCAGATCTTCTGGGCAATCACCGCGCGTTGTGGCACGCTCCTGTCGCGCTCCGAAAGCAAATTACGGATCTTTCCGGCATGCGTCTTGCGCCGAGCGTCGAGACCTAGGGATTACATCTCGTCGCAGGAGTCTGTAATTATTTCGTCGGAGACTTGCGCGTGTCGGCCCTCGGTCGGCCGTCGTCCTCTTCGCGCGAAGCCCGTCCGCGATCGTTGTCGCACGAGCCGTTGACTCTTGCTTTGCCCTTTGTGCATGTAACGTATAATAAGCGTTTCGCGAAAAATTGCACGTTGCACAAGTTACAGATGTTGCGTGAAGAATTGTCTTTCCGGCGAACGCGTAAAGAGTTGCGAGCAGGAATTTATACAACGTAGTAAAATATAATAATTGCGTTGTATAATATGGTATTGTAGTAATTTTAAAGATGAATATTTTCTTCTTATTAATTCATTAGAAAAGCATATTTTTCTACATAACTTGTATTATAAATACATGTTATAGATTCTTATTTATCGTTATTTGCAGGGTTGGGAAGTACCTCGTTACTTTCTCTTCATCTGTAACTTAACTCGGTTACATTAATAGTTTATATATTTTTTCAACCTACACAGATCGCATTAAGCCTTGCATTTGCGCATAAATGTCTTTATCGACGCTTTACAATTCAAATGCGAAGATATTTTAATTTTCATTGCAAGAAAGCTACTGCAAAGTAACGATTCGTTACTTTTCAGAATTGGTAACTTGTAACTATAACAGATACTTTAATAAAGTAACTTTCCCAACCCTGATAACTTGTTACAACTTAGTTTTAAATATATATTCATTAACGAATATCTGACAGTGGCGAAACGTAAAGAAAGATCGACGACGACGAGACCGGGAGGAAGAGGCATTGCAGCAAGAGGTATCGAGGGATATTAATATTTATGGGGGATGGCTCTATCAGCCGTCAAAAAGAAGGAGACGCGGCCAACGCTCGTGACAGAGTAAATGCACCTGCGTTACGCGTGTACGTGCGTATGCACGCGTGCACGCGAGAACAAAGCCTCGTCGCGGCCGCGGATGTCGTTTCACAGAAGAGGGGCACAGCCAGGGGAGGAGACTTCCTTCGAGCAGTACACGCGTGACGTGCAATTTTTATTTGCCTTTAATGACTGCCGTTTTGCATTTCCTTTCTCTTAAATTCCGCCCCTTTATTCTCTCATAAGGAGAAATTTAACCGTTGAAGATTATTATATTGATCCTCGTGAATGCATCTAGGAATCGAGAGATTACGAAATTCCATAAAATTTCCCGGAAACGAGTTTCTCGCTCATCCGCGAAATCTCGTCTAGATCGCTCAGCTCGATCCATATCCCGGAAGCTGCGTTCGCGAGAGGTTGCCGCCAACTACTCGCAATAAAGCTGAATGTAAAACGAGAAACTGTAAAGGCAAAACGAGTTACGTTGAGATGGAGAGTGAAAAAAGAGAAAAGAGAGAACAGAGGAAGGAGGGGGATTTAATAACCGCTAATTATCTGGATGGCGAAAGGTTCGGCGATGACTGGACTTTTCTACCTGCAATTTTTCATGCGAGTTGCATGATTCTTTGCTACACATATACCCAAATGTCATCGAATCAATGTGATTCGTAGAAACATTTTAGTGAATTTTGCCGAATCTTTGTTTTTGCCAAAATGTGCGGCTTGATATAAATGTGATAATTGTGGTGCTATCCTTAAAGTGCGCATAAAAAAAATTGAGATAATTTCTGTTTCGCTCTCTTTTCACGCGTTCTGGTTTCGCGTGGCGCGCTCGGCTTCGCAATAACGATCACGAAGTACTCTCTTTTGCCCGTGGCTTCCGAGCCGTGTCGACCTCGACGGCCGCTTCCCGATGGAGGAGAGTTGTATATCATCCGCAGAACGTTTTGCGTTCGCCCGAGAGTATCCTTCCACCACAATGTTAATTGAATCGTGCGCTTTCGGATGGAAGTGAATAACGTAATCGACCGCTTTTCCGGTTCACGTTTTCCGATCGGAGAATAGAACGAACTAGAAAATCTTTTAATCGAAAGAAAACATTAAGACCAAAGAGTTGACAAGCGAGAAATGTCTTCTGGTAAAATGCCATTTGTTTTGTACAACTTAAATTATCGGAAAATAATTGAAATTATACAATATTATATTAATCAATTTCTTTTTCAGTTCTTTTAAATTCTGAATTTAAATCAGCATAAAAATTGAGATATGAGAAATTGCAAGGTTGTTGAAAGAAAAGATATATTAATTGAAAGATAAAAGTTAAATATTTTATAACTTTGATTAGATGTAAAAAACTTGTACAAATATATTTCATTGCAAATAATAAAACTTGTATGTAGAAAATATTTACTAATCAGGAATAAATTCAAGTTTCTCTCTTTGTCTTCCCTTTTTCATGTAAGAGATGCGACGTATGGACAAAAAATAGTTTTTCAATATAATTAAATAATTACACGAGAAACTATTTCAATTTCAGAAAATCGGTTTTTCTTCGTACAGTCTCGTAAAAGCGTTTATTGGCAATTTTGCGCGCTGTCATATCTATCATCCTGTTGCTGCTTCTCGTCCGCGAGTCTATAAGCGTTGTAAATCGCTTGTAATGCCCGTCGTTACATTACGCTACGCGCCTACGAGCCGCGTTAACGACCGAAAAAGCGAGTGACGGCCTCATGCTAATCGACGACAAGATGAACTTTGATTACGTGACGAGCGAAACGTCGGTGCTTCGAATTGTACGTGGCGTGTTGATAAATAAATTTAGACGCGCGAATACTAACGGGCTTTATGCTAATTACCAACCGACGACTAAGTGGACATTTAGAATCTGCCTCCAAATTTTTTCTTCACATCCGTGATGTAACGTAGCTTTACCCTCCTCTAGTTCTCTTTCCAAAAATTCATTTCTAACTTAATTAAGTTTTTAAAAAAGAAATATTCCACATTAAACATAAATGCTATTTTACATTATTTCCTAAGAGTGTATGTCGCCACTGAGATATTTATGAAAGTAATATTTATTTTCCTTATATAATTTTTTATTAACGTAAAAGCTATAAACCTTATGACTAAATAAAAAAAGATATATAGAACGCGTAATCTATAACTAACAAGTAGCTAATTATCCGCATGGATAGCAGCGAGTCTTGAATTCCAGATTCACGAGCATCGTGATAGTATTAATTAATTGGCCGATTAACATTTCCTCGTGTTGCGTAGCTTTCTAGTTACAGTTATCTCTGAATTTCCACTTTGTGAAATAATGTAATTAATCTTGGACGAATACATGTATCCTACAACCGATTTAGTTCGTATCGACGATACCTGGTATCGCTCTTGTGCCTTTTCCTCACCAGATGGTCTTAATTAATAGCACAAGAGATGCGCATTTTCAGATGCTGCCAGAAGACTCCTTATCGTGCCATACTCGTCATTCGCTGATAAGTCAATATGCCCTGGATGATTCCGGGTCGATTTAGGTCATCGGTTCTTATTATAGCGTCTAACTTAGGCGAGAACCCGTTAATCTTTCCAGTACCGAATTAACCCTTTAATGCGCTATTTGCCTTTTCTTTGGCTACTTTCGTTATCCGCGTCTGGGTAAATTTAAATGATGTAATAATGACAAATATAATTTATATAAACAAGTAACTTTTCTATTCGATCAGTATAGTTTAGAATCTCGAGATTGTTGGGTAGTTCAAGATGTTACGTCATCGGTTCTCGAGACCTAAATGCGTTATCAATAATGGTGTTACAACAGCTGCTGCTCTATTAAACACAACGTCGTATATGTGACCTTTCTTCAACGTTAGACTAACAACGCACTATATCATTTTGAATTTGAAACAATTCTAAAATTAGAAAAATAGTATTGAAATGATACTGTAATAAAAAATAAAAGAGATATAATGTAACGTGTATTATTAGTAAAATGTACGGTAAAATTTCAAAAAACTCTCATACAGTTCTTCAAAATGCCATGTTGTTCCACGATCACATGATTTTAAGAAGAGAAAATTTTGTGTACAAGTAAAACATAAAAAAAAGTATCGCGAACGTATCAGAGGAATAAGCTGGTTGCATCGATATCCAGGCAAACTATTCCGAAGCAAATAATGAATTATTCATGCAGAGATCCGTGGCTGAAATGATGAGCAAAGGTCGTCGAGTGAACAATCCGCGATATAAAACGACTATCTGTGAGTTTTGTTAACAGTGATGTGATCAAACCTCATCAAAAGATGTGCTTCAAGATGCAAGATGTTGGAAATTCCATCGATATAAAACTCATGTTTCAAAGTATAAACGTATACATAGAAACACAATGTTCTTCGAGACATGAATTCAATTAAATTTAAAAGTAATATGATAGAGCATAAATTGAAAGATGATATTACTTACCATCTGTAAGATAGATTTGAGATATTAAAAGAAAGCACCGTACAGTGTTTTTTCAAAATTAGAAAACTAGACCTTATGTTCTTTAGAAATTAGAAAGAAGAGTATCTATAATCTTTTTAATTCTACATCTTCTTCAGTTTCTTCAAGATGTGCGTATCTCTTAAAATATTTATCATGTGAACCTTTGCCGGTTTCACATGTCAAGGAGAAAAAGTTTGTAACAGCTCGTTGAAGATGGACGTAAACGTGTGTTCACGCCGCGTTCACGATGGCTATGCGACCATAAGAGCGCGCGGCAGACCGCGTGCCGTCTATCGTTCCGACTCTGAGGAACTGTTAAAGGAGGCAGGTGGCCCGTACGCTTTGCCGCACCTCTCCAACTTCCGGGTGGTCTCGGAAGACTCGCGACAGGTGCCCAGATGGGCCGACCTTGGCCACGATCAGCCATTGATCGAGAATTATGGCACCCTGCGTGCCATCAGGTCGCGGGATTTCGAGGAGCCGCGCAAAACACTGAAGACGTTCTCCCGACGTGACAAACTCGGCAGCAACTCGAAAAACATTGTCGTGCCAGCCCATGGCAATCTTCACCGTTTAAGAGAAAGTAATGATATTCTGAAGAATTCTGAGGTGCAAAAGGGGGCTTATCAAGCTAGCTCCAATTTCTGCTGCCATTATGAAAGGAAACCTGAAGACTGTGCTCATTACGACTGTAATCAGCGAGTTTATGATACAGTACCAGTGGAGGACCTCCCGACAAACCTGAAACCCTTCTGCGTCGTCGGTACGACTTCTCAGGAGAACAATTTCATTAATAGCAATAACAATCGACGAGATGTGTTTAGGAAACCCAAGGAGGCTGTCGAGAATCTCAATAATCGCTCTATAAAAGATTCGAAAAGCAAATGTATTTTGAAAACTAGAGACGATTCTTACGTTGAAATGGAGAATGATAAACGAAAGAACGCTCGAGACCTGGAAAATGCCAAAAATGATCTTCTCAAGAACTCAAAGAGCACTTCCGTTTTCAAGAATGATCTGGAGAATTCTAAACGGAGATTTTCCAAAGGCCAACAACCCATTTATGCAGTTCCCCAAGTGATCTCCAAGCCTAGACGCGAACGTCGATTGGTTATAGTTGACGGAAACTATGTTCCCAGCGGCGATCTTTACCGCACTACAGCCAAATACATTGAAGACATCAACCGCAACCTTGCAGAAATCGACAAAAGTTATGAAGTGATGCAGACGAGTCCCAGAACTTACGGAGTGATTAACAGAATCGCTAAAGGGGAATTGCTGTCGCAAGATCAATCCGGAAATCTTTTTGGCTACGTAAGGCAGAGAAACATGGCACCCATGCCGCCTATTAGCGCCGATATAGATGAAGTTATTGAAGAAAAAAATGAAAAAGAACCCAAGAAGGATATCAAGTATCTTCGAAGACCTAATTCCAAGGGTAGACTTCCGCCCAAAGTCCTCCCGAGATCCTCATCCATAGAAAATACATCCAGACATTCAACGGGATCCACCACAGCCTCATCGAGCAAATCTACTGAATCCTTGTACGCCATCAGTGAGTCCTTAACAGAACTACCGAAGATTTGCGATGCTCAAAAACGAGATTCGGCTTGGAACAAAATTTCTCAAGAGCTGATCTTGAAAAAAAGTACCTCGCAGGATCAATCAAAATCTAACATCGATAAGGATATTCCGAAGAGAAGCAAATCTGCAGGTTTAGAGGTTAAAGACTCGTCGTCCTCCACAGACGACGAAGTTTCGATTCAGAAGAAGGATCAATCGCCGGTCACCAGTACGATTCGCAGGAATCGCTCTCGAGTCGACCAGGAAAAATCATTACTGAGAAAAGAACGCGCTCCTAACGAGGTCTTGGAGAGGATTTCAGGCAAACTAGAGAGGGTACGATCTATGGAGAATCGCTTGAAAGACCGTCGTTATGATACGCTACCCTCGAGAAGACCCAAAATATCTTCGAAGCCGCTTCACAAATCCAGCGAGGAACTTCTCGATGAAAAATTCTCGCGTAACGATTCTGATCTACAGAACTCGTGCACAAATGGCAGTCGGAAACAAAACGCCGATGAAAACCTCGCGGAAGTTCAGCAAGGTCCTTTTTCTATCATGGACGCCACTGAGGTGATTCTTAAAGGACAATTGGAGCGATCCAATCGCTTACAACGGCAGGATCTCTTTCCCAGTACTAGACATAATTCTTTGGAATCTAAGGAAGCAGACGGCAAGTTTCAAGCTAGCGCTTTCGCTACTCTACCGAGAAGGGGAAATCTCGCCAAGGATCAACCCGATTCTGTTAGGAGATTCTCTGGGAACGGACCCGTCTTGGAGCCATTATATGAACATGCGGTTAGTGATCCTGTGAAACCACGAGGAACTCAGGCTGTGATACCCTGGTGGGAGCTGGCCACTAGAAAGTACAGGCATCGCAGTTGCCCATCCTTACAGGTAAATTGATTACCGTCGGTGGATCGTCTTAGTTAAAGACAGGTATATCGAAATTGCGATCGCACGTCGCGATTTTAATACTTCTCTCAATAGTTCTCAATACGAGAACATAATGACGATTACATAAAACAAAACACACGTTGAAATAAACAAAAATTAGAGGCGTTCATTTCTGAGAAACTATTAAGTTTTAATGGAGAAAATTACAATTATGCATCTAGTTTATTCGATATATTCAATGTTAATTTGCAACAAAATACAGATCACGTACATAACATTGAAATTTGCAAGGTTATATGCGTTGCCGCAAACATCAGCAAAGTGTGATCGTCTTACGAGAAACAAGCCATATTAAAATGTAATAAACGGGCGACTTTATGGGATCGTTACTTTGGCGAAAATCGTGTGGTAACTTTTTCGTCAATGGCTGCACAATTAGCTTCGCACTCAAATTTATATTATGCTATGAACGACCGATCGTACAGCATATAAAATTATATTAATTATCCTTCCGTCTTATATGCATTAAATATTATTACTTTTACAAACATGCAACTGATTTATTCACTTTTTTTTCAAAAGCACTGATATTTTATTGTAAATACAATTTATCGTATTAAAAGTTGGTTATCAAGATAAAAATCAGGATACTGTTGGTAAAATTTATTAAGGTATAGATAGCACTAAAAGTCATAGCTCTAAAAATCATATTGATATTTTATAAATAAAAAATGAAGAGGGTAATACATTTTCTGCTTGTGTGTGAATTGTCATATAAATACGTCAATGGGAGTGCATCGACTCCGAACGATTATGGTGATATATATAGATATGATTTATCCGCAGTGACCGTTGCGGGTAGTTAAAGCAATGAAATAATAAATTCGATAATGAGGCCTCGCCGTCGAAATTGAGCTCAGCGCATTCCGTCAGTAAGACGATTGTGACGCGTAATAAAGCGTAGGTCGACAATACCACTCTCGCAGTGGGTCCCGATTGAATAATTATGCGCGCATACTTCGGCACTCTTTGTAATCGTGCCCTACCCTGTCAACGACAACGTGGCTGTCGTCAATTAAAATCACACATTTTACATTTTGCTTATCTTACGTAAGATCGATCATTTAAGTTACAAACATTTTTTTAATTACAACTTCTTCTATTTTAATTATAATTTTTACTCTCAATATTTTCTTACAATTTCTGTATATTTCTATGAAAATTCTCTATGCTTTTTAATTACGTTTAAACAATAAGAAGTAACTGCCAATTTCTCTCTCGATAATCTTGAGACCTGCTTTACTAGTTAAATAACTCGTCAAAAAGACAAGCCCTTCTCTCATTCTCCGTCGTCTATTGAGAACGAAGTGAAGAAAGGCAGTTTACGATAATCGGAGACCTCGCGGGAGAATTACACAATTGACTGGCATCAGAACGATTGGTCAATCGCGAATTTTATTCTCTGTGTATTCCGTCTTCTTATGCAATTGGATATTTTACGGTCTCAAAATTCTGCAACCGCACTGATTAAAAACATCAATTTTAGTCACACCGGTGCTTCGCGCGACACGCCTCCTGCTTATTTTCTCCACCCAAGCCAATTATTGCTTCGGATATGCATTTGGTTTTCGCAATATGAATTTCACATATACGATATATTTCTTTATATATACAAAGTTTTATATAATTTTATTTCTCAATTTGTGGTAACGTTCGTTTTTCTTTTTATAACAGAGACATTTTCTTAGGAAAGATCAGTTAGAAATTGACACCTAAAAAGCAGATACTCCTGCTAAAGCAATTATCGTAAACTCTGATTTTTTTTCGTTTTCCATCGGGTCGAAACATCCAAGAGACGTTTAAATGCCACGTGGTAGAAGGATATAAAACTGTCCCTGGAATTTGTGACAGACCGTTGTGTTATAAACACCCTTGTGGGATCCCTACCGCTTCTGCAAGAGGGAAAAAGATTTATGTGTTTCGGGGATATACTCTTTCGGCCGGATATCGTATGTAAACATGCACCCTCTTGTATACACGTGGATACTCTCGTTTTTCAATTTTCAAACAAAATCTTTTTTCTTTTCTGTTTCTCATCACGATTGGTAACGCTAATCACAATGTTTTATAACGTAAAGTGCAACACAACGTAATGTTGATATTCGCGATTTCTCTGCTCTCAAGTTCAACGATTACAAAGTGTAAGTGTATTCACTAGATTGACAAATAAAATAGTACTATTTATGAGATATATCTTAAACACACGTTGCTTTGAAAGATAATATCCCCTGTAAACAATATTTACAGAAAATCTCTGTAATAAAATCAGAAGAAAACGGCAATTTATAACAAAATATTGCCATTATTATGGGTAAAACATTTCATGAATAGAAAAAAGTTTTTCGCAATGTGACAAATTGTAACGAAAGAGATCTGTTCATTCAGGCTAGTGAAAAATAAATAAAGAAACGAATTCTCTTATGGGTTACTCATTAATTATTCAATACGAAAATATCTAAAAAGAATCTCCTGAAAGAAAAGATGTGAAATGTGAGAGCGCAGTTAAGACCTTGGCCCCGAACATGTCCTTGCGGCATTAATTATTAAGTATAATGCTGACCCTCATCCTCCTTTCTGTTCGAGCAATTATACGGGGATGTACATTGTGATGGGAACAGCGGGGATAAGGTACGTTGTGAACACGGCGTAATCCTCGAAGCGTTACGACCCGAACTAACTGGGCTAACAGTTCCCAGGCCGCAGAAGTGCGATATTCTTCCCGGTAAAACGTTACAGGATGTTGCAATATTGCTCGAAAAATTCGAGACGTGGATTCCACGGAATTACAAGGTCCTGGGAGATTCCATTTAATTTTTTCCATGTATTTTGAATTCAATTCAATTATTCTTAATTCAACCTTTCATACTACTGGAAAGTACTTGAGAAAGTAAACTAAATTTATAAATTATCTCTAACAAATTTTGCATATCAATGGAAGAGAAAAATATAATATATTCATATTTATCTAGTTAAGATATAGATACGTCTAATTGGTAATTAATTATACTATGGACATTTAATAATCTTATACATAACATGGGTAAACGTAATTGAGGGCCGTTGAAGATTAAAATATCGGCCGAACCGTTCGTCCACGACGTACTCTCTCGTCAAGATGCACCGGCGCTCGCTTGGTGTTTTCCCTGGAGAACAAGGCGAGTCACTGTGCGCCGCTCGCGATGCATTTTACTCCTCGGCACGTGCGTTTTTGCCGCAGGCTTCCGGTCCAGTTTTTAGCTTCGTTCGTCCTCGACTTCGAGTCGACCGACCCTTCGTTAAGCTCGATGCACAACGAGGCGAAACCGAGACTTTTCCTCCGGTGAAAGGAAACTTTTCTCTATTATTATAAGAAGTTGATATCGAGAATATATCAACATGTAACAATAATTATAAATTAAACACTCTCACCGTCATTCTGAGCCTCGGTAAACATACAGTTATCACTTTCTCCGTCTATGGTCTACGTAGGATATAGATTAGCTCGAATGGACTCCAATTCCGACTTGAGAAAGAGTTTTTGGAAATCTTCAATCTCATTTCAAACTTGCGGCGTATTAATTGCAAAAAGAAATATATTCCTTTGAACAAAATTATTTTGTATTCATATTTTAATGTTGTTCGTTGTTCGCAATTGCTATTTCAATTAACATTGCGCGACCGCAACTACGCATCGCAGAGGCAAAGCTCAAAAAGTGCATCGAGGTCTCGATGTATCGAACGCAATCTGACGTGAGATAAAGTGCTCGAGAAAGGTGTAAGGCCGAGTAAGGCGAGTAGGTGGGTCGTCGTCGTCTTTACGAGCGTACATCGTGTACTCACTTCTCGGATGCATCTCGGCGGTAGGTGAAGCCGGGCACATTAGCGGCGAGCGTGGGAGCCAATATTTACAGCCCATACCGAGGCCCATGCAAGTGGACCCACCGACCTCATTCGGGCTCGAGTACTTTTATCTTCTTTGAACACACGTGCAGAATCTTCAAACACTGTTTCCGCCTAATTAAGAGTTCTTTGAGAAACTTTCAAATCGATTTGTTTCTAAAGAATATTCATTTCTCAGTTACATGGCATTTTTTTAACGAGGAAACACAAATTTTTCAACCGTGCATCTGTTTTTAATGCTGCTTAATCAAGTGTAGAAATTTACTCTTGGATCTGCACAACTTTCCTACCGAAAATATAAAGGTCAATGTCCGAAGGAGAACCTCATATCCCTGCAGGATCGAGAGTCATTCCACGTTGCACGTTAAAGTAATAAGGTGGGACAATGGGCCCCGAGACACCCGCTCGCGCGGCAACGAATTACATGTCCCACGTTTGCTGTTACCGTTTTACGAGCGGTATAATTCCTCCGGAATTACGCGCGACTTTAGAATCGCACCCACACACCAACGGAATCCTCGGCTCTCACCGGTCCCTTTGTTCACGATCCTTACGAAACGCCACACTCGCTCCTCCGCGAGAAAAAAAGCCCCGCTGATTGTCCTCTTAGAATTTTATGATCGCATGATATTATATTTCCGAGGAGGAAGGAAAGGATGGTGCTTCTATTCGTGGAAACAATGACGAACTCCGGCACTCGAGATTTAAAGACCGATCCCGAAGGAATCTCTTGGGATCTTTACGTGATAACGGGATAGCAATCGAAACGAGTTCGACGACCGTGTTTTTATTCCGCAAATAAAGACCCCACTCAGAAAGGGCTGTAAGTTTCATGTTCTCCGAAATATTTTTTCTTTCCGTTTGATGAAAAAGCTTTTTGCCTCACGATAAAAAATTCAAACATTAAAATATTTAATACAGAATTGAACTGATTTCGTATTAGATTTAATTTAGATACAGCTATTATTAATATACATACCAGAAATCATTCTCTACGTAAAATAGTAAGCTTCTTTCTTATTTTTCATTTTCATCTCTTTCGCAAAAAAAAAAACGAAAAGAAAATTACAAGTTAGTAAGGAAGATGTGTGAGTCATCTTGTTATATCAAACGAAACATCTCTTTGGAAAGCGTTCCGCATCTATTCAACTCAAACGATTTTCTTGTGGCTTTGAGAATTTTACTATCGAGAATCATTATCAGAGAGCAAAACTCTCGCGCCTCCACATTATAACGCGGTTATTTTCTCATTTGAAAAAAATAATCAAAATTTAATCGTAATGTCAGATGCAACGATATTGCTTGCGAACTCTTAAGCTGAAATAAAATACTACTGATCCGTGTCATTGCCGTATCGGTTACAGTCGTGAGTTGTAATAACAAAAAGAGCAGTGTTAACAACGAACAGCCGTTGTTGCGCGGGAATGGATGAAGAAAATCGGTGGAGCGAAGAAAGAGAGGAGAAAGAAATCGACAGAGAATTTGCATCGCTCCAGTTTAGACTATCAAGCGTTTCGTCGGCGTGAACACTTTCTTCCTACGCCACGGCTGATTATCTTCTTCGTGTCATGGCGCAGCGTTGAAAACACGTTCAGGTCCTAAGAGAGTAATTACGTGACGGGAAACACGAGTCCGATACTCCAACACGGTATCTCTCGTAAAAAAGATTACAGCGACGACTATTAATCTCCGCCCCGCACGTTCGTCGAAATTACCTTGCCAGACGCTGTTTAAAACATAGTTATTATTTGACACGAGATAACGTAGAAATTGCATTGACAAAATCACATGTATGTACGTTTTCATTTTTGTATCTTGATAATTGCAAACTCGATTCATATGACGTAAGAAAATAAATAATACAATGGTACTGTATAATTAGTAAAACAGAAATAAAATTAATACGTGTGGTATGTACAATAATATTAAATTGTATAATAAAATCACATTATCCCAAAATTATCGTCCTACAAATTTATACAATTGTATTATTCGAAATAAGACTAACGAAACACGATTGTGTTTATAGACTTATTATCATAATAAATCATCTATAAAAATTTCAGTTTGAAATGTACGAAATATACTTGAAATTGTATTAAACATTGTGCGTTATTTGCTTGTTTCAGGCGCACGTGGTCTCAGCTTTCGAACAATCATTGTCCAATATGACTCAGAGATTGCAGCAACTGACAGCTACAGCTGAGAAGAAGGTAAAAACACTTTAAAAGTATTAATTTTTCCTAAGAATGTTGAATTTTTAATCAAGTCTCGCGATTTGATAAAAGAGATCTTTTTGCAAAAATTTTTACGCAAGTATATAATATATTCTCTTTCATTTCATTGAAAAAGAAAAAGAAATGTGTAAACACGTCATTCTGAACTTAATCAACATATTAAAAACAACTGATTTTTTTGTCGGCAATTTTTCAGGATTCCGAGCTTCAAGAACTCCGAGAAACGATCGAGAGGCTGCGCAAGCAGAGTGCCGAAGCTGGGTTGAACAACGGTGCAGCTGCGAATAATGGTAGACGTCATACTTTGGGTGATTCCGAGTCTGGTACCACCGGCTGCACCGGTAGTGGCAGCAGCAATCACCATCAGGGCGCGATGGCAAGACAACTGTCCGCGGACAGTGTGACGTCTCTAAACTCATTAAGTAGCGCCTGCTCGGCCAGCAGCAGTCATCATAAGAAGAAAGGCTGGTTACGCAGCTCTTTCTCCAAGGCTTTCTCAAGGTCGCGTAAAAACCGACACGGCTCGGTCTCCGATGCCGAGGATTGCAAGGAGAGCCCCGGCGGTGATCTGAGCGCTCCCAACAGTCCTAGACTGCCAACCGCGTCCAAACACGAGTCTTCGAGAGCACAAACTGCGAGGAGCAACGGACAGAAGTCTCCAGATCATGAGAATCCTTTGTCGGGAAGCAAGAGCAGCTCGGCATTGTACAAGAAAGAGGACGAAGACGTGGATGAATTGAAGAAGCAATTGAGGGAGAAAGACCTGGTGCTCACAGATATCAGATTGGAAGCGTTATCCTCGGCCCATCAGTTGGAGTCTTTGAAGGATACGGTCATCAAGATGAGGGTGAGTACAGTTTTTTGCCTACGAAAAGGAAATACGATATAATTTCGAGTTGAGTCAAATTCGAGAGACTTGACGACTTACAGTTAACATTTTTTATTTGTTACCTAGAGAAGAAGTATAATTTTTACATTGCCAATTAATATAGTTTATACGATTTTATCACTTCTCTTCCACAGTACGAGATGCTGAACTTGAAGCAGAACAATGAACGTCTCCAGCGACTAGTGACCTCGAAGTCGCTCACCTCGTCGCAGTCCTCTCTACCCAGTGACCCAGATCGACGCTTCAGCATGACCGAGGTGGCGTCGAGTGTCGCGGCGCTGTCGAACGGCGACGTCAGTTCCACGGCCGATCAACTGGAAGATCTTAACGTCCCGGTCGAACACCCTGTGGTGCCGTCGAGCGCGACCACCGCGGAACCGGTTCTCGAGCAAGACACCGACGGCAAAAGAATCAACGTGGCCGTCTACCTCGGCAGTGAGCGAAATTTCAACTACAATTTGATTACCGGCAGCTCCGCCGACGGCACCGTTGGCGAACCACCACACTGCGTGATCGCCAACATGTGCATCAGCAACAAGACCAGCTGGGACGCACTGGACTCTATGGTGAGGCGTTGCTTCAAGGAATACGTTTCTCGAGTGGACCCTGTGACAAATCTGGGTCTTGGCGTCGAATGTGTCGCCGCATATCATTTCGGCGAGGCTTCCAGGTACGCATTTAATTAAAAAACACTAAAATAGTGTAATACCTAACGTAACACCAAGATACCTAGATATAAGATTTTTTAATGGTCTTGAAAATGGTTGGATGTTCAATTCCATAAAAGCGTTCTCTATTAAGATCTATTTTTTCTCCACGTGACAGATGCACTACGGATTCTCAGCATCCCGAGTTGTTACCCTGCGGCTATCTAGTCGGCCACGTAAAAACTGTCTATCTAGTACTGTCGGGCTATTCCTGGCTGGCGGTAGACACCTTGATACCGCGCTCTATCGTTCAGCGACTAATTTCCCTCTTGACGGAGCATCGCAGGGTGATTCTATGCGGTCCAAGTGGTACAGGGAAGAGTTACTTAGCTGGGAAACTGGCGCACGCCCTAGTAGATACCGACAATGACACGAAGGACGCCGCCGCCGTTGCGACTTTCAACGTCGATCATAAGTCCAGCAAGGAATTGCGCCAATATCTCGCACATATCGCCGAAAGGTGTGATTCAAACGCTGCTGATGAACTACCTAGGGTGATTATTTTGGAAAATCTTCAGCACGCGGCATCTCTGGGTGAACTCTTCAGCGGTCTTCTAGGAACCAGACATTCATCGTGTCCTGCTATCATCGGTACTATGAGCCAGGCCACCTGCAGTACCACCAACTTGCAGTTACATCATAACTTTAGGTATTTCCACTCTTGGAAATATAATCTATAATTTAATCTACAAATTTTAATACGATATATATTTTACTAACTTCTAAATCTAATTTTGGATGTAGCTATAAAGTCTTGAAGAAAGATCCTTAGAAGTCAAATGCTAAAAATTAATTGTAGAATCACTAGTTGAATGTATTATAGTACATCTTACTGTAACATACAATTTATTTAATTTATTTACTCTTTTTAATTAAATAATGAATAAAAGATCTCTTTTCTATTACAATAAACAATGAATAAAAAGATCTTTTCTAATCAATTTGGTTTTGATTATATAACTAAACAGGTGGGTATTATGTGCGAATCATATGGAGCCTGTCAAGGGATTTCTAGGACGTTATTTGAGAAGGAAACTACTGGAGCACGAATTGCGTGAGTGTGCCGGGACGAGGAACGCGGAAATGGCGGCAGTAGTCGAATGGCTGCCGCGCGTATGGCTGCATCTTAACAAGTTCCTAGAAAGTCATAGCAGCTCTGACGTCACCATAGGTAACTGAAAATATTTAAGATACATTTCTACATTTTAAAAAAGCCCAATTTTTAAATGGACTCAACTTAAAAGGAAAATTTTCAACAATTTTACTGTTGAACTTTAATTATCAATTTTCTTATCAGTATGTAACGATTTGTTAGGTCCGCGACTCTTCCTGTCATGTCCAATGGAAGTGGCTGGTTCTCAAGTGTGGTTTACCGACCTGTGGAATTACTCAGTAATACCTTACCTAGTTGAAGCAGTTAGGGAAGGATTGACGCTATATGGAAGACGCGTAAGTGGGAACGGTAATGATGAGTCCACATGGGAGGATCCAGCGCAATTTATTACGTCCAGCTATCCATGGATCTCGACGCATGCCGTACACGGCGGCAGCGACGCTCTTCTGCGTCTCAGACCCGAAGACGTGGGATACGATGTTGTATCCAGCGGGCACACTTCTGGTGTGGGCGCCTCTAGTGTGAAGAGTCTCGGAAGTACTCATAGCGATACCGAAGGAGATCCTCTGGTCAGTATTCAATGTATTGAAATTCAAGAACTTTAAAATGCGGATATTTAAACGTACGAGAATTTTAAGTTTCAAATACTTAGAAAATTGAAAAGAAATATCCCGAGATTTGTGACTCTCTCTTGACATTGAAGAATATTCATAGCCTTCATAGATATCGGAATATGATATTCGTCATCAAAGGAATTCAGCGATCTAAATAAATTGTTGACTATAACAATAATAAAATGATAATTCTTATATAAATTAATTATATATTTTTGTCGCATCATGGAAAATGATTCTTTTAAATAAATATAACATTTATTTAATAAATCGTAATCTAAATCAATTGTAACAAAGAGAAAGAAGATCTATTATTCTATTATCTTCTAAGTATATGTATATTAATGATAGAGAACTGTTTTAATTATATATATACATATATATGTTGCTTTATATGTAAGAACTATTCAATGGTAATTAAGAACCTTATTAATTAATCGACTTTAATTGTCTTGGACCTATTTTTACAGCTTAACATGTTAATGAGGCTGCAGGAAGCGGCTAATTACTCGAGTCCGCACAGTAACGATAGCGACTCGGTGACTTCTCTCGATTCGTCACATACACGTCACTCAGAGGATCTGAGCAGCTCGACATCTTCGTCAAGAGGAGTAGAATCGGCACTCTAAATTAGCAAGACATGATGAATAAAATTCATCGCCGAAAAGTTGACACATTACGCGTATCGACCATTTCATTAAAAACACAAAAAATACAGATCAGTAGCTCTTGCAAATAAACAATTATTCCGATCGCCGAATTCAGAGCAAAAGAAAATTATTTATTTATTATTAACAAGAAGTATCAGGGAAAATAATCAATGTAATGTTTCTAAGATTAAAATTTAAGAAGGAAAATTACACACAGTATCACCAAATCATACTTCGGAAATAAGAGCTCATTTAAACATTGCCGATAATCCTTGTCACAATAAACATCTAATTGCATGTTTAAAGACCCTCTGAAATACAATAACAGAAAAGAAGTCATAAAGCGCCAGCTATTTTAAGATCGCACTATTTTAATACCAACAATAGCTTCGTAATGATCTAAAAGGGATTCGAGATGCCTATTAAAGCTGGCCTATATTTATAGATTTCTACATGCATCCAGCATTTAGGTGTGATATGTAATATTAAATAAATAAAGAACGGATAGGCCGCGACTCTTCACTCCTTAGGAAAAATAGATGAACCGGAAGAAATTCAGTCTACGAAGATGAGTTTTACATTTTCGAAACTGAGAGAATTAAATAGAAATTTTCTATTTGAAGCTAATGCCAATTGGAAAATTAAATACAAATTATTTTTAATTTATTTGAAGGAAATAAATGGAAATAAAAATCTCAGCGCTAATAAAAACAATTAGCTTCTTGGCTGGGATATTTTAGGTAAATTCCAAATAAATTCTTTTATTTAATTATATCGTCGTAATTTATTTCTTAAAAGAATTAGCAACTTATCAGTATCTTAGAAATGTTAAAAATACCATTTCACGAAATGACCTTTCACCGATTTCTTTCGGTTCGTTAATTTTCCACGGAGCGTGCACGCGAACCCGATGCAATAATTTCTACACGCTGCCATTTGCGGAATTCTATTTTAATGGAATGCATTTTTCATTCACGACGAGATGCGAGCGCGTAATGAAGAAAAATCGCATTAATCTTGTCGTTTGGTGTATACAGTATTAATGGCAGGAGCAAAAAAGAAAGCGGTTTCGTACTGAGGAATCCTCAAAGATAGAGATTTCTCTCTCGTCCGACTATTTTTCAGGTAAAATTATCTTAATGCAGACAGATCTCAAGGCTGAATAAACAGATGATTCTCATTCATAGAAGCAAACAGGGATAAAACAAGCAAGTTCGAAAGGATCATGGTCTGTGCAAAAATAGTCTATTTATACATACTTTGCTACGAAAGCTCTATTTAATTAAAAAATGTTAATATAATATATTATGTATAAATAGTATATATACATTCATACCTGAATGACGACGGCGCTAAATATTATATATATATATATATATTACAAAAATAAAATTTCTAATTAGTTTGTAAGGTACGTGAATAATTCTGGTCATGTAACGTTGTAAATATGAGACACAAAGCAAGATAGATTACGCTAGATGTGCGAACTTGATTCAAAGTCCCACACGAAATGGGCCCCGATATCTCTTGCGACCCTAATTTTACTTACGATCTCTCTTATATACTTTACGTTTAAATGTATCATATACCGCAATCGATAACGAAATCCTTGTATCTTCTTTTTATATCCAAAAAGAAATCCTTTTTATGACATTAATAAATTATTACTTTCCATAATAAAACAAATATTTATTTTCTATTAGTAAAGTATTGTTAAAATACTAATAAAAAATATTGCTCAAGAAAATAATAATCACGATTATTGCGAGAAATTTTACTCTGAATTTTTCAATTTGAAAATTATCGATTTATTATGTGTGTTCCAGATAAGCTATAACTTTCTAAAAATTAAAAAGTTTTATATATTCTCATAAAAAATATGAGAAAAATAAAAATGTGATGCTGACTGAAGACTTACAATCACAGGAGATAATACGGTGTCCATGAAGACTATATGCATATGTATAATGTATTGTACATGATCGGTAGCATGGCCCCGGCTGCGATAAAGTAAAAAAGGGGGCACGTCAACGTTACACATACGATAATACAGTCGCATTTACAAGTTTTTTACGTTTGTACCGTATTTATATATATGCTGTACACAGCGCCGCACTCCAAACTCTATTCAAATAATGATAATTAACTGTGTCATCAAATAAATCGCATTCAAATCTGTCTTCTCATTCTTATTTCAAACGTTATACATACAGGTATCTACGAATTACGAAAAAATCATACTTTAAGGGATTATATTGGCCAAAAAAATATATTTTCTTTTCAGATCTTCAATATTTATTTAGGATACCAATACCAATATTACCATTACCAATATTTTTCGCAATAAATTTTCTCTATTATTAAAATTGCCAGAAACGGTCAATAAAAATCACTGATGTTGATAAAATAGAATATTTAAGAAAAGCTTAAATTAGGATTTTTATACTTATATTTTTTATAACCTTTTTACAAAGAATGCTCATTTTAATTCTTTTGCTTAAAATCTGTCTTTAATGTCATAATTTTTTATTTATTTTATTAATTATTTTATTAGCCTTTAATTAGATAATAAATCTTCATATCTATCTACTTTTTACAAGAAACATTTACACTTTTATATTTAACTTTAATTTGATTAAAAAATTGTTGACTACCGATGATCTAGAATCACATTAGAAACGTACTTCTTTTTCTTGAGGCAATTTTCTACTACGGCGTAAATAGTAAGCAGTCTTCTATCCATGGCACTCAAATGCGCCTTCGTGATGAGTGGAGAAACGTCTGACATTTCAGCTTCGTGTACAAGAAGTTTACCTAATGCGATGCTTAAAGTTCCACCACTAAACAGTCGCAACCTATCCCACATAGTTTTGTGAATTCTGGAACAAATTTTTTCAGTTTTATTCCTTTTTATAATTATTAATTTTTCTTACATAGTTCCCAAGCATGATGATTAAAGGAGGAACAGAACGAAGGAAAATTTCTAAAATAATTTTAACAAACAGCTTGAGAAATTAAAAATGTTGCAAACAACCAATAGAACACAATATATCAAATACTTGGAATGTTTTCTAAGTTGTATGACTTTGGTAGCAAGTAGTAAATTATATTCACATGCAGCATTGGTAGAGAGGCGCCAAGATGTCGAGGTGATCCACATCAGGATTGCTTAGGCTTTTTCCATTATCGATCAGCAGCACCGCGGGATTGTGGAAATTGTTCTGCGCGAGTTCATAATGATGCCGATCACCATTGTCCATGAGAAAGTCGAAGATCGCAGTGTCGATCAAATCCAAGAGTCTACTCGACGACTGCGGCGAATAAGCCTTAGAATCTTTTACCTGAAAGACAATTTCATGTTTTCAACATCCAATGTTGAAATCTATAACTGTGTTTTTAACTTGATATATTTTTTACTATGTTTAAATACATTTTTATACATGTTTTTACAATCTTAGCAATAAAAGTACCTTGTCGCAATAACCCTCATCCATCTCCCACACAGCAAGTTTGTTTCTCTTATAAGTTCGCTGCCAAGGATGACGATGCTTGACCAGTCTCAAGTATCGTGGAAGCCAAAAAATAAGGGCACCTTCCAATACATCCCCCGTTCCACAAACAGGATCGGCTGGAGAACAATAATGACAAACACCGTACAGGCACGTATCGTTACCCTCTTGATACATAGTTGCGTACAATGCCGGCGTCGCGCGATTGCCAATCTCTTCTTTCAGGTCAACTATAAGAATGTACATTCCTTACTTTGTTAATTGACAGCAAATAATTCCGCTTATAGTTTATCGTAGAAAGGTAATAATTAAACAAATACAGTTAAATAGGACCATTACGATATAAATCAAACAAACGAGAGCGCCTTTAGGTCTGAGCAAGATGTTGGTAGTCCAATAATTGTAATCTAAAATATGAATTCATATATAGTTTTCCACCTTGTCCTGCGTGCCGGTTTCTTTTCGGAAATAGTTTCATTTAGATGGAATCATGGACCTAAAAGCACTCTTGTTTGTTTGGTAATAATTAACGTTTTTACTAGAAATGTTTTAAAAGCGCAAATAAAATGTCTGTTAAAATAAAGAGAAATTTGTATGGATCTCTTTCAATCTTTTCACTTTGTTCGACTTGAACGTACGTTTTCGAATAACGGCGAGTGGTACTCTTCGCAACGCTAGCAAGGATGATAAATGAAAAGCCACCACTTCAGCATTGTGGCGATCCTTGCCATAGTACACTGGTCCATGTATAATAGCATCTCTGGAATACCACTGCGGTTTAAATAACGCTTTTATGTCGTTCTCGAGATTGAGCATAAGCTTGAGCTGTGTACCCAATGGAGCATTATCCGCACGGACCACTCGAGATTTTCGCAATACTTGCAGAATAGTTCCCAGCTCCGGTGCCGCCGGTGGAATCAGTTGATGTGCATCTGGCCACTAGGACAAATTAGCAAAATGTTCTCTCATTCTTTAAAATTGATCCGGACAAGAAAATATTTCCGAATTAACAGGTATTTTAGAAATAGAAGTTACAGTCTCAAACGTAAATGTAAGATAGATAAATTTAAATTTATTAGAGACGACAGAAATTATTTCCTTCCAATTTCCGTACAAAATTATCTCTTAAAAATGTTTTGAGTCTCTTCACCAAGAAATTTAAAACACTTTAGGAAATTCTTTAACTAACATTATTATTGGGAATATTCCAGATATCTTCGCGAACATTCGGCATTATCGTTAGCTCGGCTAGCAACCGTTCCAGGACGAGAGTGTAGCTGGTATTCTGTTTAAAATATTTGGAGGGCAGCGTACGAATCTCCTCTTTGATCCTCTCGCTGATATCCTTTGCGATTGACCTCAATTGCAGCTGCGAGTCTTTTTCGTTGGATCGCGAGGACGGGGAGGGATCTTGCCTGGCTTTCGGTTCCGGTAAATTTTTAGCATATATCCTCTGCGAGGAAGAACTCTCGACGATCATACGGATGAAATAGATGTTGACGCTGAGGACCAAGATCAAAAGAATGCTCAAGGCGAAGAGAGTGCAACGTCGGCCAATCATCTGCAATTTTTAGCAATTTTTTATCTCCGCATTATCATGATAATTATAACGAGTCTTTAATAGACATTAGAAATCGCGCCGATTTCTTTCAATCATTTCGTAGATTACTTATATAATAAATTTTGTGTCAGGTCAAATTCATCAAAAGATTACATACATGTATATATCTCAATAATTTAACTCTTTTTAGGGCATCAATTGCCTTAATGATAAAATTTCAAATTGTATTTTCGTCGAAATAAACACATATCTCTTGTTGTTATTCGCAAACTTAGAGTGCAGAGTATACAGGTAATTTTCTAAAACTAATTAATGTAAATATAAATTTTTTCATGCTTTCTTTTTCAAATGTAAAGAGCCAAGAATGAGATTTCCCGCGTCGCTCGTGTCACCGTATTACGCAATTTCTACTTGCGATATTATGGCGACTTTGCAACGTTCGTGACGTTGTTTTCCCCAGCATCAGTATAGTTATCGTTACTTGTAATTAACCGAGTCTCCAGCTGGACCGTACTACGGGTACACGTGGGCTAACACAAATAACACACTGCATACACAACTCTTAATAAAACGATGTGCTAAACTTATTCGAACGATCGATATCAGCGCGTGTCAATGTCCGCGATAACGTAAATTTCGATCGCATCTTCACCTTGAAGCAATTGGCCACGCGTCCGCTGTCACCTGGTAACTCGCGTCTGTATCATCCTTCGCCGATTGCCGTTGACGTCTCGGTCGTCTCACTCGCGTCCGGACATGGTCGCCATTTTTACTCGCTACTCCACCAACAATAAGACGCGCCGCAGCGACGCGTTCCGACGACCGAGCGGCCCCGAACACCCGAATGCCTCGATACGCGACGCCGTCAAGCTCACACGTCACTTGATTCATTCATTCACCACGTTGCTGTGACGTGAATGAGACGTTAAGAAACGCTTTTGCAATTTTACACCTAACTCGGTTTCGCAGAAAATAAGTAAAAGTTATACGCTTAATTATGCATTAAAAATTATAATAATGTAACTTCTCAGCTATTAAATATCTTAAACATTTACACATGCACGGATTACTTAAAATCTTACCGCGCGTATTAACCCACTTTAGACGATGACTTGCGTTAGATTTCAAGATACAACTCTACCTATAACTTTACGTGCGTATATCTCCAGATATTTTTATACACATTTTGTTTTCATATCATATAGCATATAAAATTATAAATATAATTCTCGCGTTATCTCGCGTTTAAACCAAAGAAAACAATATGATTAGACACAGTAGATTGGCACATGATCTTTCTTTATATTATTACTTGATTCCGCTCTTTTTCCAGCTTTAGAGCAATCATCCAAAAAGATTTTACAACTATACGATTAAATAATTTAATGCATTAAATGCATTTAATGCATTAAAACATAATTTAATGCATTAGACATACCTATATGACAATATCGTTTATCATAAAGGAACAGGTACATTCGAGACAAATTTTGAGGCAACAAATGCAAAAATATTGTGGGGTACACAATGAAGCGTAGCAGTGACAGTGTGATGAATTTATTTTATAAAAACATGTAAACTACATGTGAATATAGAGTTAAACTTAAGACTTAAGCTCCATCTCGAGAAACACTTCCCCTGTGAACGTACGTAGTGTTGATGATAAAGACAGTGATTGTAGTGGTGGTGATGGTGACTTGGCTCGGTAGCTGTAGCTACGTGACAGCTCACTTTTTTCCTTGATGTTCTTAATTACATATTAGCTGGTAGTAGAAATAATTAAATATGTACACAGTGTGTAATTGTTTTCGCCTCTCATTCTCTTTCCCTTCGTTGCCTCTCGCGCTCGCGTGCCAACTCTGTGGCATAGTCGTACGGCGAACCTCTTCTAAAATCAAAATGATTATGCTTGAAAATATAGTATCAATGAAAACTTTGAAGAAATTTTCCCATTCTTGCCTATTCCTTACTTGTCCCGATGTCGATCTCTGTCACGATGGTGATCCCTGCTTCTATCTCTATAGGATCTGTCTCTGCTGCGACTTTTATGATCCCCCTGTCTTTTATTTTTATCACGACTGCTAGACCGTTTGCTGTGCTTGTCTCTTTCGCGATCCCGTTCGCGAGCTCTTTCTCTGTCACGTTCCCGCAATCTCTCGCGCTCTCGATCGCGCTCTCTATTCTTGTCTTTACGGTCCTCGTCGGCTCTGCAAAGAAACACGTTTGAACGGAAGTATGACATTGGTTGTCCCGATTGGTTGAGTACAAGACTCGATGTATGCGCAAAAGAAAGATTTTTTTCCTCCTCGCAAAGTCAACTGTCAAATTGTTAAATAATTTTCTAGATAGACAAATCTATTCTCTCGTGTCTCCCACGACAAAATTCGAGACCATATTTTTTTCGCAGTTTCTAAGCCTCGAAATAAGATTTGTGAAATGGTCCCTATATATTTATGCATGTATTAATAACGTGATCGTTGTATTCATACCACGTGGACGCACCTGGCACGCCACTGGCTCATACGCTCGGCCTCACCCCACTGAGCCTCGTTGTCGGGGATATGTCGAGGTTGCTGGTTACGCGACATCAAATTACCATTGTCCTTACGGCCTTCTTTGTTGCCGTACTTGCCGTGGCTGTTGAGAGTGATTGGCGGCTTAGCGTTTCGCGCATTCACCTGCTGTTGCGGAAAACGCTCGGCTAACCGCAGCTCCAAATCCTTTTGGATCGGTACCGGTATCCGTGGAAACAGTGTGGAGAACCACTCGAGTTTCGTGAGGAATTGCTTGAGAATATCGCCCATTTTCATCGTTTGTCCACCGCCCGCCTTCACGTCTAACTCCTCTTCGTCCTCCAGATAGTCGCTGTACCAGCTGAACAAGTCTGCCGGTGGCTGTGTGTATCTAATTGTAATCGTACTATATATATTATCATAATCGTTGCCGGTTTATAGTTTGACTTGAGCGGTTAACGTCGCAAGTCTAGCCTACAGGGCCTGGAAGGATATTCAAATGGCTACTTGCAGCAGCAGCCTTGATTAGAATTTCCTCGACTAGCGCGAAACCAAATTTACCTATGTACAATATACATATGTGTACGTAAATGTATAACATGACTATATTAATCCTTTATCTGTATCTGATAAGGGATTAATAGATTTATAATACAATTGTGATACATATTATGTGACTTTTAAGTTCACTTGAACTTGTATGTATTACAATAATGCCAAGACTGAAATATAAAAACAGGATAAAATATGATTAATTAGCAAGCAACTGTATAACTAATTTTCAAAGAAATACATCCCTAATAAATTTGTAATCTGAATATACTCTTTCAACTGAACATTATGTCCTGAAAAAGACTCGCGATAAAATCAATATTCTGAATACGTTTAAGAGATATTAAGACGACACAATGTGTTAGATAAGACTCACCTAATATACATAAATCCTAGAGCGCGTATGTAGGGTGAGTCCGGATGATTGATGAGCCCATTCAGCTGCTTCCTGGTTAGCCTCAGCGTGAAGAGTTTGTATAACAAACAATACGCCGTGGAAACGATTCCGCCAGCTCCCACGCCTCGTACCTGCATGAACCGCTAAATTTACACCCCCTTCAGTCAGTTGAGTCACATTCATGTTACCGTACAATATATAACCGAATACATGCTACTCTGCAAGTAAGTGGTGCGGTTAACATTTGGCGATAGTAATAGTACCAAGGCGTTTCAATTGTTCAAGCATTGGCAATACTATCATCGTACTTGTGACAAACTTGGCGGCTTTTATACAAAAAAAGTTGGCTGCATTGACCAGAACTTTTCGCTGTTCAATAATTCAACCAATAATTTTAACAGAATTAACCAAGGGGTAACCCGCTGACTAAAATCATGTATATACACCAATGGCTACTAATGCCCAGTGGGCATTACTTTATCTTATTTTATCTTCATAATGCCCCAGCAAGGTCTAATGCCGCAAATCTGTACGCCACATGCCCTCAACGGTTTACCCCTCTTAATTAACTGACCTCTCCTCTTTCCTATCACTTTGTATCGTCGTTCCGTTTTATAACAAGTACTAACAATTTTAACTTTGAATTCTTTCAATTAAAAATGCAGATTAGAATTTCCCTTTCTAAACATTTTATTTATCAGTATGGCCGAACAGTTAAATGACACGGGGATAAATATATTGAAAGAAAGAGCGAGAACAGAGACGGATTCTGTCAGTGTTTAAAACTCTCTTGTAATAACTGATATTGTATTAGAACGCATCAAACACACTGTTGCATTCAAATCTCAATTTGCTCATATGTCGCTGGCCAAGAAATATGCTCTATACAAGCAAATACATCTATACAACATGTCCCACAAGCCTTGGAGCAAACGTATCAATAATTACCAGAAAAAAAAGATAAAAGAAAAAATTCCATGTTCTTTCTGAGAAAACATACTCACGCCTCCACACATGCCAGTTTGGCCCGCAGTCTTTCTGCTGCCTTTCTCCCATGGTTCCAGGTGAGAGACCTTATAGTAGATCTCGTCGATCACCTCGTGATAGGTCTTGAGTTCATACAAATTCACCTTGAAATAATGTGACGATTGTATGTTGGTGAGAATCAAAGGATTCAAATTCATAGTCCTCTCGTTGCCCCATAGTGGCAACACGTTGGATTTTTTACACTCCTTCTGCGCCGGCCTACGTTCCTCGTCGCAGCCACTTGAGTTATTCCACGGAGATCCTGAGAGAAGAAAGGTTCAACGTATCTCAATACAATAATCGATGTTCTTATCGGCAGCACATAAAAATGTACGTATGTACAAATTAATATATATACAAACGCCAAATGAAACAGACCAACTTTAGAAAATCAATAACAATAATTTGTACATTTTTCCCTCGTTTCATGCATATCTTTTTAAGTAGATGAAAAGAGATCGCAAATGAGAATAAACCAAACATTATCGACAAATAATTAAAGTTTGGAATTAACTCCGAAATGACGTGGTAAAAGTCAGGAGTCACCAAGCCGACGCGCGAATCAAGGTTATGTTATTCGAGGACCAAGGAAGGATCGATATGACCTTCAACGAACAACAGGATATCCAACGGTTAACTCAGAACGCGGATTTACTCACCATCCGCACCTTCGGCCTCCTGTACTTGCATTTTCGAGCGATTTGTCGGGGAGACTCGCGTGGAGTCTCCACATCGATCGCACCGAGGACGAACGAGTGGACTCGCTCAGTTTCGAACCGCTCTCTCCGGATCAAGTCACGAGGACGATCTCCGGCGCGATGATTTCACCGAGTATCGTCAAAACCGACGATGTAACTCTTCTAATGGACCAAAAAAAGGTGAGAAATCGTAGTTCTCTGTTACGTATGATGGACAAACGTACACATCCGGTTCTCTATTGCGCGCGCGCAATACCATTAACAGACCAGGATTACAAACATTCGCAAGTAAAATGACCAGTTGGTGCCTCTCTCTACTAGGGGACTAGAGTGTGATAACAGTGTAACCAGAGAGAAGTCTGGGCTGCTTTCGCGAGAAGCAAGTAGACTAGAGACGCTAATTTTCGTGATTAGAAGTTTGAAATTCTCAGAATTCCAATTCATGAAAATTTATATAACGCCACCTCTCAGCTGATCATGTTCTCCTAATACGTTTTGTAAATTTTCGAGATACCTAATTTTTGTGAATAGTACTTTGAAATTCTCGGAATTTCAATTCTTGGAAATTTCGATAGTGCCACCTCTTCCCTGATCATGTTCTCCTGATACTTTGTCAGTTTTCTAGATTCTTGATTTTTGCGATTTGAAGTTTGAAATTCTCGGAATTCCGATTTTTGGAAATTTAGATAGTGCCACCTCTTCGCTGATCATGTTCTCCTGATACTTTGCCAGTTTTCGACATTCTTGATTTTAGCGACTTGAAATTTTCGGAACGCAAGAATTGAAAGAATTTCCAAGAATTGGAATTCCGAGAATTTCAAACTTCAAATCGCGAAAACCAAGAATCTCGAAAACTGGCAAA